AGTTCAGAAGATGGAGATATTTGATCCCTGAAGATGTATATGTAGTAGAGAAATTACTTCTGAGCATGTGCAGACTACCTTGCATTTACTCCATGTGTTCCCACCTCCTAAGTGAAAGATCTGGCTCAATGGTATTATTCAACCCCCCTCCCAATCTTCCAGCCTCTGTGCATGAAGGTACAGGGAGATTCCACCCCAAACTCAGAGTACTGGACTGCCTATGTATAATGGCATTTATTTTGTGAGTTGGCTGGCTAAAATATAGCACAATGTGGGAAATCATGTATCTTGTTACAAACTTATTTTTTTCAAGCTCAGTGCAGTACATGGAATCCAGTCAGCTTTTGAAGAAGCCATGTCCTACTGCCGCTATCACCCTTCGAAAGGCTATTGGTGGCATTTCAAAGATCAAGAGGAACGAGGTAGTCTTCTAGGCTTTAAAATACATGCTCTCTTTCTCCTTTGATAGAAATTGTGGGCTTGGGCTTGGTGTGTTGACTTCTCTGAAATGCCTGTCTGTTCTGCTGGTTTATAAATGAATGAATGAATGAATGAATGAATGAATGTACCACAGGAGTTGGAAAGAGTTAAAACATTCCAGAAAAGTAATGGTGTCAACACAGTGTCATTTTAGGTGTCTGGGCATGTAGGATGGGGCACTGTTGGTGGAAGTGAAAGCTTACATTAATTTAATTCTGCAGGGATACCAAATCAATTGAAGGAGCTTAGGGAAGATATAAAGTAAGCAGAAGGGAGAAACCTTTCTGAAAAGTTGTAGAAAATTAAATGTTAACTTCTGCTGCAAAACTAACCAACCAAAGAAGACAAGAAGCTTTATTTTGTAAATGAAGAATGGACAGATAAAAGAAAGTTAAAAGTTTATGTTCTGATGGGATGCTTCATTACAATCTCTAAATTATTTTCAGATAAAGCCAAACCCAAAGCCAAAAAAAAGGAAGAACCAAGCTCCATTTTCCAGAGACAACGTGTAGATGCATTACTCCTAGATCTGAGGCAAAAATTTCCCCCGAAGTTTGTGCAGGTATTAGTTGCGCTAATACTTTAACTGATAATACAGTGGTACCTCAGGTTACAAACACCTTGGTTTACAAATACTTCGGGTTACAGACTCAGCTAACCTGGAAGTAGTACCTCGGGTTAAGAACTTTACCTCAGGATGAGAACAAAAATTGTGCGCTGGCGGCAGCAGGAGGCCCCATTAGCTAAAGTGGTACCTCAGGTTAAGAACTGTTTCAGGTTAAGAATGGACCTCCAGAATGAATTAAGTTCGTAACCAGAGGTACCACTGTACATCAATTGGATGTATTAAGGTTATGTACTGTAGGTGTTAGAGCTGTCATTCAAGCCTAAAGGTTGGCATCTGTTATGGTTGGCATCTTCAACCTATTTATTTATTGAATTTATATACTGCCCTATACCCGGGGGCATCTCTTGTTAGCTGGTTTCATATGTTACTTGATTATTAAAAGTGATATAATTTGACTTTCCTGTGCAAAAAATGTAATTTGGAAATCTCTTGTGTAATGAAAGCCATTGCACAAGGCTATAGATTTGGCTTCTGCAAGATTAAGTTCTGCCTCAAAAACCTATTATTTGAGAGTGTCAACAAGCATATACATACACAGAAGTTGTCTAATTGACATGCTGTACTTAATTTTTTTTAATAAAAAAAAATCAACTAAATGGTTTTTTATATAGGGTAGCAGTTCTTAGTAGGACAATAGCAAGATCATGCCAAAGCCAGATGCATGTATTTTTTATTAGTGACTGTTTTTCTTTTTCCTCTTCTTCACAGCAAAAGTCTGGAGAAAAACCCATTCCAGGTGAGAATTCAGTCATTGTTTTTAAACAGAACTAAATCAAAAGACATTGCAGTTTTCTTTTCAGCTGAGGCTTATGGGAATATTGCCACTGTCTAAGGTCATGTTGTGAGTGGGGGAAGATAGTGAGGTCCCCTGTGTGGGACCCTAAAAAATCACCACTTTATTTATAAACATTCTGGGTGCAGGAAACTATGATTCTCCAGTACGAATAGAAAATCTGAATGCACCAATTCAAGTTACTGCTTTATTCTGGCAGTTTTGCGTTGGAAAACAATCTTACAGAAGAATCAGATATATAAAGTTGTTAGAATTAGATTTTCTTGGTTTTATTTTTCCAGTGGATCAGATCAAGAAGGAGCCAGAGCCAACCCCTGAAGCTACAAAACAAGAGGAGAAGGACACGGCTAAGATCACCCAACAGAGCACTAGCACCAAAGGACCACCAGAGAAACGGATGAGACTGCAATGACAGAAGGGAAGATTATACTCTTAAACTGCAATACAGCAAGGAAAGGAATGACAACTGCGTGGTGGACTTTTGATATTTCAAGGCTCTTTTCTTTTGAACTGTTTACAAACCTGTTAGCTGCAAACCTTTAGCTACATACAGGAAGAAATAGTTTGGCCTTTTCCTTATTTTAATATTGAAGGCTGTATTTCATCTAGTGTACCTAACCCCCAGTGTCATATCTTTGGGTAGAAATCTGTCCTCTTTTATTAAGCTTAGACCTTGGAAAAAGATGCTTCAGGAAAGACCATCAAGAAAAAACAAACGCAAAACTAGCTAATTCCTTGATCGTTATCTTCATTTTACCCCTCTTTTTTTACATGTACTACAGAATAACAAATGTGTGGCAGGATTATGTGAAGAAATGAGCAAGTTATGCTTTGGGCTTTGAAGAAAGGTGTTGGCAGTAGATGAAAATATTTTCAAAACTGTTTTACAGAATCCATATAATTGGAAGTGAAATGTAGGCTGAAATTTCAAAATTTTCTTGGTAACTATCTCAGTAAATAACATAATTGGAACAATCACTCTCTTTATAAGCTTTTGAGTCCATAATGCTTTATATATCGATAAAGTTTTACCTTTGTTAATTTTTCGTAACTGTACAGTGTAATGTTGAAATAAACTCAGATACTCTGGTTTTTGAACTTACATATTAAATTTATTCCTGACTCTCCCCCATATTACCCTCTAATTAAAGTTGGTGAGAGAATAAGTTGCACTTATCATCTCGGCCACATAATGAACTTACCATATTGTATTTGCCTGTTGTAATTTGACCTGTTTATTATGGTTAATGTCAGGGCAAGAAATAATATATAAAAAGTTGAGCCTTTTATGTAATTAGCATTGCCCCAGATACTGTATTTTGCCTGTTGTGTGTCTTATGGAGCGAAAGACACACTTTTTCCCTCCTAAAAAGTAAGGGGAAATGTCTATGCGTCTTATGGAGCAAATGTGTGGTCCCTGGAGCTGAATCACCCGAGTGCAGTGTGCGCCGTTGCCACCCCCTCCAGGGTTGCCCCACACTCCTGGTCTGCTCTCTTTGAGAGAGGCTTTGCCAATGGACTCCCCTTTCCCCTGATGGCTCTGGGAATGTTGGCTGGAGGATGGTGAGAAGAAGCAGCTTTCGAGAGAGGGGGGGAAGAGGACGGAGAGGAGGGGGACCAAGAAGCGGGAAAGGAGGTAGGTTGCCGTGAGTGGAGAGTCATGGTAGAGTTCAAAGGAGAGGCATCAACGAAGGGGAGAAATTGCAGATGTTGGCTGAGGAGTTTGGGCAAAAGGGATAGAGAGGAGAATGCTGGAAAAGGGGCCTGTGCTGCATGGGGAGGGGGAGAAAAAAGTGGGGAGAAGGAAAGCCTCCCAAGCCTCCGTGGGAGGAGAGCGATCCCTGCAGAGGCTTAGGATGGAAGCTGTGGCCCGCCAACCATATGGCTGACGGGCACGCAGCTTCCCTCCCAAGCCTCTGAGGGGATCGCTCTCCTCCTGAGGAGGCTGTGATTCAGAATATTTTTTTTTTTTTGTTTTCCTCTAAAAACTAGGTGCATCTTATGGTCAGGTGTGTCAGAATTACACTGGTGAGCTCCTTTTAAGTCAAATGGTGTTCTGATGAAGCCACAAACATCAAGTTGTCCAAATTAATGTTGCCGGCCCTGGTTCTACTGGCACAGTGTTGATAGCTGCCTGGCTATGCAAATAGGACAAAGACAGTGATCAAAGCAGGTGACATCTCTAGATGTGCTGTACTACCTTACTGGTGGGACAATTTTTACTAGACAAAAAGTCAGGATAAATTTCTGCTGCCTGCTGCATATCATAGAACTGTAGCGTTGGAAGGGACCACAAGGGTTATCTAGTCCAACCCCCTGCAATGCAGGAATCTCAGCTAAACCATCCTACAATCCTTGGATAAACATCCCGTTGGCTTTCAAAGAAGGAAAAACATGTTCCACCTTCCAAAGTAGGTGTAAAGGTAAAGGTACCCCTGCCCGTACGGGCCAGTCTTGACAGACTCTAGGGTTGTGCACCCATCTCACTCAAGAGGCCGGGGGCCAGCGCTGTCCGGAGACACTTCCAGGTCATGTGGCCGGCGAGCCAGAGCCGCACACGGAAACGCCGTTTACCTTCCCGCTAGTAAGCGGTCCCTATTTATCTACTTGCACCCGGGAGTGCTTTCGAACTGCTAGGTTGGCAGGCGCTGGGACCGAACAACGGGAGCGCACCCCGCCACGGGTGGCATCACCTTAATCCAAGGAGATTGGTGAGTTCATGTGTAACATTTGAAACTTTACATTATCTGGAATTTGCTGCTATTGCTACTACTAAGCATGACATGCTAGGTGTGTCATATATATAGGGAAAAGTCCTAAGAGTCATTCCCACATACAGACTTCTGAATAAACTTGGCAGCCATGGAACAGGAGGACAGATTTTCTTCTGGACTGGTAAAACAGGAAAGTTTTCACAAAAAATGAAACCCCACCCCCAAAAGGATCCTTATTAGAACTGGTGCTATTTAGTTTTCCAAGCTATCTACAATCAGGTGAGCAGTAGGTAGCCAGGCTTGCAGATGACACCAAAGTACAGAGAATGGTGAAAATCAGATTGTAAATGTTTGAGACAATGCCAGGCTGTCTGTGGGTGGGGTGGAGGGTGAGAGGGAAGAGAAATGTGGTTATGGCATTGGAGGAAATCCCTTCTCTCCTTGTCCTTTCTCAACTCGGAAAACAAACAGGCAATTTGAGCACCTTTTAGATTGAAACTGAAGCTAAGCAGCTGATCAGGAAAGAAGCAGAGCTTATTTTGAAAATAACCAAAGCCTTTTGAACTAGAAACTGGAAAGTGTTCAATGTGCTTTTTTATATGATATGGCAGCTAAAATTACATATTAAAACAATTGCCAGAGCAGTAGCTGTCTTAGCAAAAGCAATGAAGAGGGGTTTTGGCATCTTAAAGACTAACACATTTTATTGTGGCATATGGAGTGTTTCAAAGTTAAGTGTTCAGCGTATCTCACATGGATGTAAAGAAGAGCACAGTTTAAATGGCTATAAATGATCAGAAAAAAATAGTTGCACCATATTCTGGAATAAGAAAGTGGGTAGATGGCTGACTGTATCTTCTCCTAATTTTCCTGAATTGTTCAGTTTCAGAGATTCTCAAAATCTAACTTTCATAGACTGTTAATAGGGAGGTGTGAGCCTTGTGAGCAGGGTATGAGGAACCTGTTGCCCTCCAGATCTTGCTGGACTGCAATTCCCATTACTCCCTGCCAATGCAAACACTGATCAAGGAAGATGGGGGCTGCAATGAAACAACAGTTGAGAGTCCCAGGATCCCCCATGCCTGCAGGCTATTCTTATGATCGTACCCCCCAATTGAAATATTTAACTCTACATCCTCTCCGTCCCTCTCTCCTTTTTAGACTCACGATAACACCGAGAGGTAGATGGGTAGAGAGCGCGCAAGTGGTTCAGGGGCACTTCCAGCCGCTTCTCTCACGCAAGCATCCTTTCCCTCACACCTTGTCACCCGCCGCGCCGTCGAGAGAGGTAAGCGAGGAGCGAGATGCTCCCCGACCTCGAAGGCGACGGCGTTGCTCCAGCCGTCCAAGATGCTTCCCTCAGCGAAGGGCGCCTGCACACTTGTCGCCGGCGGGAGGCTTCGGGGCGGCCAGGCGAGGTTCCTTTCGCTAACCGTTTCTTAAGGGCCGAATGCCGCCCACCACCCAGGAGCTTAAATCGGTCATGCCCGCCGCCTTGGGAGCCGTTTGGACCCCGGCGGATTACACGCTTCCATTGGCGGCAAAATCACGGCTCCTCCTTCTCAGAGGCGACGACGCTGTTAGAGGAAAGGGCCAGAGGCGCCCTCGTGGGTTGCACCGCCTTCTTGGACCCACCGGCCGTCGGCTCCGCGTGCTTCGCCGCCCTCTCGGTTCACGCAGGCGCCACAGAGAGACTTTTGTTATTTTTCGCGCCCACACCCTCCGAATAAATCCCTGAGAAGAAGGCGGAGAAACGAGGCGCGGGGAGCTTGTTCTTGGCGCGCGAAAGCAGCGCGCGTGGGACAAAAAGCACCTGCTGAATTCCTCTCAGGGGAGCCTCGAGGGAGAGCGGCGCGGCGGCTGACCGGCGGCGAGACCGCAAAATCAGCGTGGAGGGGAAAAGCCAGGTAAGCCACTGTTTTGTTCTGGAACGGCGTCGTTTTCCCGGCCCCCCTGCCGCCGCGGCTCCCGCGCTCGCCCCTCCCCTCGGGCCGCTCAGTTCCACGGTTGCTGGAGCGCCGGGCGGAGGACACCACCGATGGCTGCTCTCCTCCCCGCAGGGCAGCGGTGGCGCCGGTGGCGTCGGCGGCAGCAGCGGAGGAGCCTCGTCCTTCTTCTTCCCACTCCCTGCCTGGCTGCCGCCTTCCCGCGTGAGGCGAGGCCCACCGGCCGCCTCCCGGCCCGCACGCGAGGGGAGATATGGGGCCGGGCGGCGCCGGCGGGGGACTGGCGTGGCTGCTGCTGGCCTCGGGCGTCTTCCTGAGCCAGGCCTCGAGCCAGGCGCCGCCTCAGGGTTTCCGATACGTCTCCTACGAGGTGATCATCCCGAGGAGGATGGCGCCGCGTCGCGGGCGGGAGCCCCAAGACCTCACGTACCTCGTGGAGCTGCAGGGGAAGGGCCGCGTGGTGCACCTCCGGCAGAAGAGAGGCTTCGTGCCTCAGCACTTCCCGGTGTTCACCTACGGCAAGGAGGGAGACCTCCAGGCGGACTACCCTTTCGTCAGGGACGATTGCTTCTACCACGGGTTTGTGCAAGGCCAGCCCTCCTCTCTGGTCGCGGTCAGCACATGCTCAGGAGGCCTTAGGGGCCTCCTGCAGGTGGAAAACAAGACGTACGAAATCGAGCCGGTCCAGGCACCCACGAACTTTCAACATGTGGTTTATCGGCTGGAAGAAAAGGAAGGCGCCGTCCGCATGAGGTGCGGGCTCACTAAGGGAGATCAAAATCTCCAGGAGGCCACGATCCAGATCCCAGAGAATGTAGAGCTCAAAAGTTCCCAGGGAGCACTCTGGCAGACGCATGCCAGATATGTGAAGGTTGCAGTTGTAGTGGAACATGAGCTGTTTGTCCATACTGGCAGAAATGAAAGTCTTGCTGCTAGAGAAGTACTGGATATTGTCCATATTGCAGATTCACTCTATAAGCCTCTTGGGATTCATGTAGTCCTAGTTGGACTGGAAATATGGTCACAAAAGAACCTCATGGCAATTGCTAAAAGTATAGATGAACTGCTTGATGTTTTTAATACTTGGAGAAAAACGACCCTCATCCACCATCTAAGGCATGATGTTGGCCACTTATTTGTATATAAGCATTTTGGAGATAAGCTTGGATTATCATTTGTGGGAACAGTGTGTGATCCCATTTGGGCATCTGCTGTCGAGGCATTTATTACTTCTAGTTTGTTCTCATTCACTATAACTTTTGCTCATCAGTTGGGCCATAACCTTGGCATGCAACATGATGAGAAATACTGCACTTGTAGTCAGCATTCTTGCATTATGGCTTCATTACAGAGCAACACAAGTCAGTTTAGCAATTGCAGTTTTGATAGTTATTCTACCCTAATGAATAGTGGTAGGAAACAATGTCTGTTAATTCCACCAGAGCATGAGAAACTGTATGAGCTCGAAAACTGTGGAAACAAGGTGGTAGAGAGCGGAGAACAATGTGATTGCGGTTCAGAATTTCATTGTGAATTGGATGCATGTTGCCAGTCGAATTGTATGTTGCGGTCAGGAGCCACTTGTGCTTCTGGAACATGCTGTGCCAACTGTCAGTTTCTTCCAGCTGGAACAGTTTGTAGAGAAAGGACTGACATCTGTGATCTTCCTGAATACTGCACTGGGATTTCAGAGTGGTGTCCTGAAGATGTTTATGTGCAAGATGGAGCTCCATGCTATGATGGTGCCTATTGCTATCACGGGAAATGCTCTACTCACATTCAACAGTGCAAAATGATATTTGGCAAACAAGCAACGGTTGCCCCACTAGATTGCTTCAAAGAAATAAATACGCGAGGTGACCGCTTTGGCAATTGTGGCATTATTCCTGGTGATGTTTATAAGAAATGTGAAACAAGTAGTATCTTGTGTGGAAGAGTCCAGTGCATAAATATCGATAAAGTGTCCAATCTGAATGAGCATAACACCATAATACAAACTCCTGTTAACAACAACTTGTGCTGGGGTACATACTACCCAAGTGGAATGGGCATAGCTGATATTGGAGCAGTGAGAGATGGCACACAATGCGGTGATGGCATGATATGTATTAATAGGTATTGTATCAAGGTATCCCTTCTGAACTATGACTGTAATCAAACAAAGTGCCACAACAGAGGAATGTGCAACTCTCATAAAAATTGTCATTGTGACTATGGTTGGGCCCCTCCATATTGTCTAAATGAAGGTTATGGTGGCAGCATTGACAGTGGACCCCCTCCACCTAAGAGTGGCAATTTAGGTATGACTATAAGCATTGTAATAGTTATTTTTACTGTTGTTATTGGAGCTGGGGTTGGAATCATATAAGGAATTTCACTGATAGAAGGGTTGAAATTACTTACTGTATATTACTCATTGAAGTGTCAGACTCCAGTAAGCTCTCAAAAGACAGCAAGTCCTAAAGTGTCTAATCTGACATTGCAAACACTTAGGAGATGTTGAGCTTATAAAGGATTTCACTCAGTACATTATGCTGCAAATAATGTATTTTGTTGCTTGTAAAACAAGTCTGGCCTCTCTTAGTAATTTAAAAATCTGACTTGCTATTAATTTTCTAGGCTCATCAGCTTATGAAAATACTTGGGCACCTAGATAGTAATGTTTGAGGATGACTTCCCATGGGGCCTGTTGTAACATAATTACTGTGGAGTATCACATAAACAGAGCACTCTAGTGTGGGTTGGGGCTGACTAGGGCCTGTTTAAATAGGTCCTATCAGACTGATCTTATTTGCAGGTCATGTGGAGGTAATGCAAATTGTTTATTAGGGAAATAAATTGAAACCTGACCAATTATTCTAATTGGCACCTGTGGTTTTTAAAAACAATGTACCTCTGCTCTCTGAATGGAGAAACTGAAGTTCCATGTTCTTGTTGAAGGCCAAGCATATCAGTAGTTAATTTCCAAAACAAAATGTTGGGTCCACAAGAAAGCTCATGTAACGATTTATGCATGCATTTAATAACATTCCACTGGAAGTGGACATTTACAAAGTTTGCTCAAAGAATTAAACTGGACAGTGTTTTACAGTTGCATCTTCAAGCAAATTATGTATATGCCCATTCTAATAAAATATATTCAAGCCCACAAGAATCTTTCTAAATGCCATTTTGTGGAGGCAAAAGCATACAGTGAAACTAACTTTTGTACACTGTAAATTAGACAGGATTGGAAGCTTGGAAAAAAATTGAAGTAGCAAGAGAATGCCATCCAGAGACAAACCTAGAAAGATGATACATTCAAAAAGAATTATGAACAATTCTTTTAACTGCAATAATGACAGTACAATTGGTTTCTTCACACATCTGAAATGCCTTTAGGAATGAGGTAAAACATCTGACAATTGCACATTCACGAACCTCTTACTCAAGATTTGTGTAGCTCTTTAAATGATATTTAATCATGTGTAAGTGTGTTGGGAACTGCAGCATCCATTAGTAGTATAACTGACCCACTGCTGCTCTATACATAACTCCAGTATGTTATGACTATTCATAAGCTGCCTCACAAGAATAAATGTAAATTCATGCTTTTGATTTGCAATGGCATACAATATAAATTCTGGGAGATTTCATGTATGGTTTTTGCAGAACACAAAAGTGCAAGCCAGCAGAGCTATGTGGTATATGTTCTATAGCAGTATTGTATGCCCTTTGAACAATCAAACATCTGGGGTGAAAACATTATTTATGGGCCTGTGTAATGTAAAAAAATTGCTCTAGTGAAACTGGTTCAATTAAATACAAATTTTGCCTTTCTGTCTCAATCTGTCTTGCATTCTAATTTAACCGAAAGCATTCATCTTTGACTTCCCTCTCACAAACCCTTCATCAGGACTGCATTGTTTAACACTTGGATATTTCCTGGAAGAATCAGTTTACAGTTCTTAACAGTGATACTTGCTCAGAACAGTGAGAGTTTATATATATATATATATATATATCACCCATCTTATCGTAATTTATCTTTATCATATTGTACAATATACTGTTTTGAATGCCCTTTACTGATGTACAACCATGAAAACTATTGCTTAGAAATTATTTCAGATTACTTAATAAAAATATTTTATGTAAAAGTATTTTTATTTATTACATTTGTATCTCACCTTTCATCCATGGACCTCAAATAAGCATACATAGATCTCATTTCCCTCCTCACAATAGCCTGTGAGGTAGGTAATAGCATCTGGTCTCAGATAGATCTTGGTGACTGTCCCTGCTAATTTCATGGCAGCATGGGAATTTTAACGTAGGTTTCCCTGGTGCTAGTTAAACACTCTGCAATAGTGATGTCTTCATAAAAAGGTGTATATCAGCTTTTCATCAAGAGAACACCAATTTGTTCTGGTGTTGTGATTGGTTTTATGAATGCAAATCATTCCTGGAACAGTATAGTTGTCTACAATTACAGCTAATTTTTGCCTTTCATTCAAAGTAATAATATCCTCTAGACATAAATTACTGTAGATTATTTGGTAGTCATGCCTTCTGCAGCCAGTGCAATATTTTTTATTGGGACACCTCAAGGAATTTAATGAGAGCAAAGCAGATGATATCTATGAAAGTGACAGTAACACATACAGGGTTAGAGTTGGTACAGTCCTCATTGGGTTTTGCCACTCCAGTGTCATTTATGCTGTCAGGTGTTCCTGGCTACTTAGCAGACCTATTTTGACATTTTGCCGGTTGGGACTCCCTCTAGCTCAGGGGTGGGGAACTTCTGGCTCACAGGTCAATCTTGGCCCTATCAGGGGTTCCAATTTAGCCCATGAGGACATTTTCCACAAACCACACCCACCGGTGGCATCAGCTCATGGGCAGGGTTCAATCCTGCTGGGTGCTGCTTCACTAGTGGGGAGTACATTAGCAAAGTAAATCCCTGCAGAGAGTGGAATTGAATCCTCTACTCACCAGTTGGTGAGTGGAGCACTTAATCTTGCTGGGTGCTGCTTTGCCACTTCATTTTATGCAAATAACCTCTCCCTTCACCCTATAAGTCAACTTTAGCATGTGCATGGTACTGCACACTTATCAGTTATGTCAAATAATCCAGAATGCGGCAGCTAGACTGGTGACTGGGGGCGGCCACTGAGACCACATAACACCGGTATTGAAAGACCTACATTGGCTCCCAGTACGTTTCCGAGCACAATTCAAAGTGTTGGTGTTGACCTTTAAAGTCCTAAACAGCCTCGGCCTAGTATACCTGAGGTCCAGCGCCGAGGGCCTTCTGGCGGTTCCCTCACTGCGAGAAGCAAAGCTACAGGGAACCAGGCAGAGGGCCTTCTCAGTAGTGGCGCCCGCCCTGTGGAACGCCCTCCCATCAGATATCAAAGAGATAAATAACTACCTGACATTTAGAAGACATCTGAAGGCAGCCCTGTTCAGGAAAGTTTTTAATGTGTGACATTTTAATGTATTTTTAATCTTTGTTGGAAGCCGCCCAGAGTGGCTGGGGGAACCCAGCCAGATGGGCGGGGTACAAAAAATTATTATTATGATTATTATTATTATTATTATTGACAGGTGTGTGGCTACTGTGTACCTGTTGAAGGTGGCCCATGGGGTGGGGGCATTAAAGATCTTGGCTGTTGAGTCAAAAAGGTTTCCTGTATCTGCTTCTAGCCAATTGAACAGGCTTACTCACTAGGCTTATCTAAATTTATATGCCTGACTAGCTTCCCTCAGCTGCTAATGCAGTTAGTGAAATCAGGGGGTATGGCTCAAATTCCAGTGAGCAGGAATTTGAAAGGGAAAGGTCAATTTAGCCCCTGGGAATGGGTGGGTGTTAAGAAGGGATAAGGCAATGGGCAGTGAATTAACTGTAGAATTAATGCCCTATGGATGTTTCCTTTTTAAACCAAATGTTTTTAACCAGTCACAAAATGGCTGCCACATCTTAAAGTAGAAAAAGAGACAGGGCCACAAATGGTCAGCCACCTCATCAATGGGGAGAGGGCACCAACAGAATCCACTGCTGTGTTCGCTTGCAGCGAGAATCCATCACTTCTCTGTTTAGAACAGAATGGATGGTGAGTGTCCAGTTCTGGCATTCAGTGAAGGGGTGGGCATGTTTAGGGGGCGAAGGTATTCAGTGTGGTAAAGGCCAAACCAGTTCAAACAAGAACTAAGCAGGAAGAGCAAACATTCTCTAATGCATTGCAGTTTTGAGAGGTTACTTCTTGAGACCTGTCACAGGCATCACAGGAGGCACCATGTTGGGAACCCCCGCCATAGCCGATATCTTATATAAGTTCACAAACGAACAAAAATGAAATAGAATATTCTATCCTCCTGCTCTTGATCAGTATAAATGGTGTTCAGGGAATCATTTTCTTTCTCTGTTTGCTGTCTAACTCATTTTTATATGTCATCACCCTGCTGAAGGCCCCGGGATTCTGGCCCGTACGCCTGGCTGAGGAACTATGAACTTTCTTTTAAAAATGTCAGGAAACCTGGAAATTAAGATATGCTATGGAACTTACATGTTCATTTTCACAACTGGATAGACTGGAAGTAGCAAAGAGGATGGCCAATGGCATGCACTGATTGCTTGCTTTGTCAGTGCAACTACAATGACAATGTTCTCAAATTTTGAAGAAAATGAAGCAACTTTAAGCAATGTAATATTACAGTAATTTATTTTAACGTCACATTAAATACTTATTTTAACGTCACATTAAATTATCTTCTGTATGACAATATGCCTTACATGAAGAACTGTGTACCATTAAACAGAAATCATCTGGTTTCTAGTCTTTTATCTCTATTTGCTTCCTGTCTCGTTGGGTTGCTAATGAGCAAATTCAAAGCATCATATCAAAGCCACCTAAAAAGAGGATACAGAGAACTGTGGAAGCAAAAATATTAATGTTATATGGACAAAATATAAAACAATCTTACCAATAAGAAGCATTTATTTATTTGTTTATTTAAAAATGCGAAAAAACAGTGCTTAAGAACTAAAAGTAAAATGCCTGCATTTTTTATCTGATATAAGTATAAAATGGCTCAGAAGTCCATTAAATAAGATTTCTTAATTTTCTGAATAATCTCTGAATAAATCCTCAAGAAAGATAACTGTACTGACAGCTGATGTGGACAAAATAATAATGCATCAAGCCATTTCAACTATATTTAGTCATGGAAATAGGAGAAAAATAAATAACTGTCCAATTGGAAATACATTACAATTTTCAAAATAAAATTGATTTTTAAAAAGGAATGTCAAATTCCCTTGTACTGAAAAAGTGATATAGATACCCCAGTTGTCTAAAGTTATTGTGAAACTCCAAAATTCTGCTGATAGTTTGTCTTACATTGAGGGTGGTCCATATAGAGTTCGTAACACAGATAGGTGACTGGAATATCTATCTCAGTGTTTCCCAACCTTTTTTGGGCAAAGGCACACTTGTTTCATGAAAAAAATCTCGAGGCACACCACCATTACAGCCCCGTGACGTCAGCGCGCAGCGTCACGCCGGGAGGGACATGAATTGCTAGCAAATTACATAATCACCTCCTTGAGGGCTGGCTCATCTTCTCCGAAGGCAGAACCCCATTGATTAACAGCACAGACTCACACCATAGCCAAGACGAGGGGGGAAAACCTCAGTCATGCACAGTCATGCACATGTGGGGGCTAAATGAGGACGAAGACCGGGCAGAGAGCAGGGTTCAAATCACCCCACCTGGCCAGGACAATCCCTGGGTGCTCCCTTGGGCCACTCGCCTGACCCACCTCGCAGGGCTGTTGTTGCGAGGATAACACAGGGAGAACCACGCGCGCCCCCAGGAGCTCCTTGGAGGAGAAAGCGGGCGATGAATGCAATGCACGAAATATATGAGAGGCGACCAGGTTTTGCAGGTGAGGGGCCCCCGCCAGCCTCCGCTTCCAACACCCGGCGCAACGACGCCGAAGTTTCCCCCCGGGCTCGGCTCGGGGAGCAGCGCTGCTCCCCCCCGGCTCCCCTTCGCCCTCCCGGCTCTCTCTGCCGCCCACTGGGGACCCCCCTCACCTGCCAAGTCCGGAGCGCCGCTGGAAGTTGCATGCATGCATGCAGGGCGCCGCGTTGCCATTGCATTGCACTGCACTCCATGCAACGCCTGCACGCATGCATTGCCTTGCACGCCCGCCAAGGGGTCTCCCCGCGGTCCGATGCGTCCCCTCCGGCGCGGATGCAGCATTGCAAAAATAAAAAAACCCCGACGCAGCCCTACCTGGGGGGCAGCCTCCGCCTCTGCCGCTCCGCCTCCGCGGGGATCCCCGGGCTCCATTCTGCCGCCCAATCTCTGGGGGCGCAGGCAGGCTGCGCGGGGTCTGCGCGGAAGAGCCCCTGCCCGCCCGGCCGCCGCCGCTGCGCTCATTCCATGGCCGGGAGAAGAGCGCTTCAAACAAAACGCCCGGCCCGCCAGGCCACACTGGGAAACGTAGTTCGCGCACCCCGCGCAGGCGCGGAGCCCAAGGGCGAGGGGACTACGGATCCCGGCAGCCCCCGCGCCGGGGACGGAGGGGGAGAGGCCGGGTGCAGGGATGGAGGGACGGGTGGGCGAGCGAGTGAGTGAGTGGCAGCCGCCAAGCCTTGGCCGAGAGCCAGGAAGGGCCTCCCCGGAGGAGGAGGAGGGAGGCGCAGAGCGGGAGGGAACCCCAGGGGTCATCTAGTGACGGCGCCCCAATCGAAAATTTGACTTTTAAAAAAAAAATCTTTCAATTTTTTAATTTTTCCCGCGGCACACCAGGCAGCATCTCGCGGCACACTAGTGTGCCGCGGAACAGTGCTTGGGAAACACTGATCTATCTATCTATCTATCTATCTGTCTGTCTGTCTGTCTGTCTATCATCTATCTATCTATCTATCTATCATCTATCTATCTATCTATCTAGCTATCTAGCTATCTATCATCTATCTCATTAGAAATAGACCTAAAAGTCTTACAAATATTCCATCCTTTTTCATTGTTGACCAAGACAATTAAATGTATGTACCTGGAAATGAGTTGCCTTTCTGCCGTTGTTCCCCCTGTGCGAGCATGGAAGAGAGCAAGCAAGCAGGAAGGAAGATGCATGGGGGCCAGACAGGCAAGTCATTCTATCAGTTATATTTTATTTGCACAATTGGAATTAATTTCAGGAGCCAAAGGTGCTTTTATCTGTGCAGCTTGAGCAGGAGCAGTGAACATTGTTATGGTTCATTATTGTAGCTTGTCTTCACTTACCTCAGAGTTGTGAAGAATATCTCAACATTATGAATGGTCTGTTTCACCAATAAGAAAAAAAGATTGGAATAGGCCAATATATTTGTGAATTGTACTTGGATAAAGGTGACTTTTCTTCTTTAAGTTCTCAAATTTCTTAACCTAGCTCAAGGTAGTCATCCGAACGAGCCAGAAATTTAACTGATAATCAATCACAGTCAGTCCATCATTTGAAAAATAAGAATTTAGAACCATCTGATGCTAAAATGGGAACTGGACATTACATTTTGGCGACTATAACCTTGGTTTAAGGAGCCATTTGGTGCCTGGCTTATATACATGAGTTTCTAACACTGGCCACTACAGGTTGTTCCACTAAGCCACCTAGCAGCTGCATTTTGTACTAGCTGCAGCTACCAAACCAAGTGCAAGGGTCGTCTAATTGTAAAGTTATCTTGTCTGTGGTAAGGGGAACAGCAGATTCTAGCAGCAGAACAGCCTTTATACACAGCACATCATGATTTGATTAATCACATTCAAGTATTCAAAACCCCTTTTTAACAGCCCCTATGTTACCTCAGTGACCGCCTCACCACCCTGAAACTTTTGTCAGTTATTAAATAAAAAGCACGACAAATCCTCAGGCTATGACCATTTACTTTGATGTGCAAACTGCCATGATACTAGTCAGGGTTTTCCTGCTGCGAAAACCAGCAGGCAGGAGGGGAAAAAACAGTTATCCTGAAGACTCAACAGCAGGAATAGGAACATTGGGACATGCCTTATACTGAGTCTGATAATTGATCCATCTAGCTCTGGAATGTCCTAAGACTGGAATCTGGGTGGTGGTGGTGCACAGACATAATTCCACTGCCTATAACTTAAGCTTGAACCTTCAGATTCCCACCAAGAGCATAGCTATGGTCCATTAAGTATTGTCTGAGGAATTGGTCTGCTTTTGAAGACTGACTTGCTCATGAGTTTCCTTTTACTCATGCAAAGTCTTTATTCACCAGGCGTGCATTTCTGCATCTGGTAGCCAACCAAGCCTGCAACTTTAGGCTCCTGTGGTCCAGAGAACTAGGTGAATGCCTGATGTTTGTCTCAGATTCTGAGAGGAGGTTATCCACATATTAGGAGGAAACGTGTACTGCTATCTCCATCAATGACACAGGATCCAATTGATGTGGCTTAATGTTCCTTGACATGGCTCGTCTCCCTATAACATTGTGTTTGGGGAGCTTAAAATTATCTCTGAAGAGGATCACTCCAGTGAAAGCAAGATAGTAACAACCCCCAAGGAGCCTCTCCTAAATAGAGTTTATATATCTTGTATTAATATGAGGTTAGTGATTTTGGTTATCTTCCACTACCCTAACATCTTGGTCTGAAAATTGTCCACAGAACATCCCGTTCTTCCTGTAACTGCCCTTTTTGCTAACCATCTTCTAGGTTCTCCCCACCCTTTCCATTCTCTCCCCATTCCGACTTGTTCATAACCAAGCTCCGCCCACATTCCAAAGGGAAATCTCCTGACGGTTGCTATAGACAGAATCCTTCTCCTCTATCTAACATGCAGCCTTCTTCCTATCTTGCCTTGCACCCACAAGGAGCTTCCCTATTGAGAAAGACAAGCAAGAGTGGAGTGGTCTAGTGAATTATTTCACTGATCAAGGAAAATGACTAGCAATCTTGCCTGGCTACTGGTGCTGATCTCATGGAACGTGTTATGTGAGAATGCAGGTCAGAAACCACCACAGGGTTTTAGATATGCTTCTTATGAAGTGATCATCCCAAGGAAACTGACTCCCCGATATGGAGAACAGGAAACTCATGATGTCACATACCTGCTGCAGATTGAGGGGAAGGGTCATGTGGTGACACTCAGGAAAAAGAAGAGCGTTGTCCCTAAACACTTCACTGTCATCACATACAGTAAGGATGGAGAGCTCCAGGTGGACTATCCTTTCATCAAAGATGACTGCTTCTACCATGGCTTTGTACAAGACAAGCCTTCCTCTAGGGTCACCCTCAGCACTTGCTCGGGGGGCCTCAGAGGTCTGCTTCACTTAGAAAATTACACCTTTGAAATTGAACCTGTTCAGGCACCTGGTACTTTTCAACATGTGCTGTACAGATTGGAGGGAATCGAAGGTGCTGTTCGCATGAGGTGTGGGTTAACAAAGGAAAAGCAAAGGAGCCAAGAGGCCATGTTCCAAAACAAAAGGAAAGTATTGACTGGAAGTGCTGCTAGAGGAGCCTGGTTGCCACACACCAGGTACCTAGAGGTTGCAATCGTGATAGAACATGAACGATATGTCAGGTTTGACAGAAATGAAAGTCGTGTTGCTAGGCAAGTTATGGATATCATCCATACTGCAAACTCAATGTATGAGCCACTGTCTCTTGAGCTGTCTATAGCTGGCTTGGAGATATGGACAGAAAAAAACCTCATAGAAATTGTTAACAGCATAGATGACACTCATAATATGTTCACCCACTTTTTAAAAAGTTCACTAAGTAAACGTATACAACTTGATGCTGCTCACTTATTTATATATAAGAGTTATGGAAGTACACTTGGATTAGCGTACATAGGAACAGTTTGTAGCCCCCATTGGGCATCTGGTGTTGAATCATATGTGACTCCCAGTTTGTTCCTTATTTCTCACACATTTTCCCATGAATTAGGACACAATCTTGGAATGCAACATGATGATAAATACTGTACTTGTAATCGAAGTGCTTGCATAATGGCTGCATATCAAACAATCTCTGATAAGTTTAGCAACTGTAGTTATAAAGAATATTTCAACAGAAGAAACACAAAGTGTTTGCTAATTCCACCAGACTCCACTAAAATATACAAATTTGCATACTGTGGAAATCAACTAGTGGAAGGTGGAGAGCAATGTGATTGTGGTTCACCTGATCAATGCAAGTTGGATCCATGCTGCCAGTCTAATTGCATGTTGAGTCCAAGTGCTGCTTGTGCTTTTGGAGAGTGCTGTGTTGAGTGTCAGTATCTTCCAGTTCATAAGGTTTGCAGAGAACAGGTCAGCAGCTGTGATCTCCCCGAGTACTGCAACGGGACTTCAGAATGGTGTCCTGAAGATGTTTATGTACAAGATGGTGCCCCGTGTAGTGATGGTGCATATTGCTATCATGGGAATTGCACAACTCACACTAGGCAGTGCAGAATGATCTTTGGCAACAAAGCAACCAGTGCATCAAAGGATTGCTTCAGTGAAATGAATGCTCGAGGTGATCGCTTTGGCAACTGTGGGCTTAGACATGACACTTATAAGAAATGTGATACTCAGAACATCTTGTGCGGCCGAATCCAGTGTGAAAATGTTGATACAGTACCTTCTTTGGAGGAACACAGCACCATAATTAATACGCCTCTTGGCAATAGGCATTGCTGGAGTACAGATTACCATGCTGGAATAGACATACCTGATATTGGAGCAGTGAGAGATGGGACTCCTTGTGGCACAGAAATGATGTGTATTAATAGGGAGTGCAAGAACGTGTCTCTCTTGAAATATGATTGCAATGTCACAAAGTGTCATAATCGAGGAATATGCAACACCTACAAACATTGTCATTGTGATGATGGCTGGGCCCCTCCAGACTGTCTGAACCAAGGTAATGGTGGCAGCATTGACAGTGGACCTCCTCCACCAAGGAACACTTCAAAACGTAACGTCAACATGACAGGAATTATAGCAGCAATTGTATTTCTTGTTTCTACTTTTTTTGCTGTTTTGGGGCTGGGTATTTATTTCAGGAAGCGTCTGAGAGAGCGGTTTGTAAAAAAACCAGAAAAAACATATGAAGAAGGTATAAAAGAGGAAGAAAATCCTGTCCCAACTGAATCAGAGAATTGAACAATACACTGAATGTGTCAAATAGATGTGCAGGAAATAATGGACAGGATTATGCAGTGATACATTTAAGTTTCTAAAGTTTTTAAAGCCCTTCTTCATTTGTCTACTAGGCACAATAGGACAGAACTCTGCAATGTGTTGATGTTGTCTGCAGTCTCTAACTCTCAGAAGTATCTCCCTTAAGCCCACCTGGGAAAAGAATGTGGAGGAATGCTAAATACTTTCAGCAAAAGCCAGGCTCTGAATAAAATCCCATTCTCACAGAAACCAACACAACCACTGATGTCATTTGAGTAACTGAGGTGATATCCTAAAATATGCCTGCTGTAGAGCAGTAAAAAGGCAACAAAACACTTTAACAGCTGAGCATCACAACGTTACGTAATCCTAGTGATTCCATGTCTTCATATCAAAGCAACTGAAGAATGCAGAGAACCGTGGAAACAAAATGTTAAAATGACAAAATGTTGATTTGTTTATCTAATTTATTCTTCATACTTTAAAGAAGGTAATCCAAAGTGATTTATAATATAAAACAAACCCATACTGTACATTGAAACCAGCAGAAAATAAAATAAAAACCAAAGATAAATGTAAAATAAAACCCCATTTCTAAAAGGCGGGATTAAAACATTCCAACCACTGGAGATAACTAAAAAACAGATAACTAAAAACAAAGGTCTAGCAAAAGAGGGGGGAGTTTTTGCTTAGTGCCTAAAGCTATTTCTTCATGATGCCAGGTGAGCCTCCTCAGGGGGAGCATTCCATAAGTAGGGAGCCATCACTGGAAAGCCCTCTTCTTGTGTTGCCACCCCTCAGAACTCCTGAGGAGGAGGCACAAGAAGAAAGGCCTCAGATTATTATTGTAGGGTCTATGGTGGTTTATACGGGGAGAGGTGTTTCTTCAGGTATTTGGGTACTGAGCCACAAGAGGCTTTGTAGGTCAAAACCAGCACTTTGAATTGGGCCCAGAAACTGATTGGCAACCAGTGTGGTTGGGCCAGGATTGGTGTTATGTGCTCAGACTGTCTTGCCTCCGTGAGCAACCTGGCTACTGAATTCTGTACCAACTTCTGAATTGCCTTCAAAGACAGCCCCATGTATAACACATTGAGTAATCTAACCCAGAGGTCATCAGAGTATGGCTGGCCACCAGCCAAAGCAGATGGAAGGCACTTCATGCTACCAAGGCCACTTGAGCCTCAAGTGACAGCAAAGCGAAGTTTCCAGAAGTATCCCCAAGCTATGTAACTACTTCAGAGGGAGTGTAATCTCATCAAGAGCAGGCCATTTCCCATCCATCCAGTCTAGGGAACCATTCACTTCAATTTAATCTGAACTGAGCTTCAGTTTATTGGCTCCCATCCAGTCTATTACTGAGTCAAGACATCAGTCATGCACATCCACTGCTACACTTGTAGATGTTAAGAAATCCAGATGTGCCATCAACATATTGCTGTCAACGTACTGCAAGACTCTGGATGACTCCACCCAGCAGTTTCCTGTAGATTAACATGTTTAACAGCATGGGGGACATGCTTGATCCCTAAGGAGCCCTGCATTGAAGACTTCATGAAGCTGAAAAGCACTCCCCAAGCATCATCCTGTGGAAATGAGTATCCAAGTAGGACCAGAACCACTGCAAAGCAGTGCTGCCCACCCTCACACTGGGATAACTGCTCCAGAAGGATACCATGGTGAATGGTATTGAAGGCCGCTGAGAGATCAATAGGATTAACAGGGAATTAACACATTCTCCAATCCCTCTCCTGACTGAGGTCATCATACAGCACAACAAAAGCAGTTTCCATGGCCAAACAGACCTAAACCTTGATTAAAATGGATGCAGAAAATTGGTTTCATCCAAGAGAGCCTGGCTCTGGCTCACAACCAGTCGCTCAAAATATACAAAACAGTATCTGAAGAAGTGTGCATGCACACGAAAGCTCATACCAAGAACTAACTTAGTTGGTCTTTAAGGTGCTACTGGAAGGATTTTTTTTTGTTTTGACTATGGCAGACCAACACGGCTACCTATCTGTAACTCAAAATATACAAGTAAGCGTTTATTTCTTTGTTTTAAAAGACAAAAAGCAGTGATTAAAAACACTGAAAGTACAAATGCTAACATTTTTTATAAAAATAGGTGTAAAATGGTTGAGAAGTCCTAATGTTATGAATAATTTCTTCTGAATAAACCCTAAAGGGAGATTACTGAACGTTGCTATGGACAAAAGAGGGATGCTTTAATCCTTAAGTTCCAAAGTTCTGCTGATAGCAGACTGATCTTATTATATAGGGACCAATTTCAGTGTTGCACATAGAGGTGACTGGATCTCATCTCTCTCCCTCTCCCTCTCCCTCTCCCTCTCCCTCTCCCTCCTCTCTCTCTCTCTCTCTCTCTCTCACACACACACACACACACATACACACACACACACACACACACACACACACAACACGGCGTTGCAAATATTGGCCACAGATACTGCAGCTGAGGGAGGAAGGAGCTTCAATGCTCTATTCCACAGCATCCCAGCTCTTCCCTTTTCAGTACAGTTGAAGGTGAAGCAGCCTGCAGAGGAAAAAGGGGAAGGTGGAAGCAGTATTATGCCCTTGTTAGACCTTCCTCTTTCCAGACTAGAAATTGGAATGTGGGGCTCAGCTGCTCTTTTACTGTCCAAAATTTCATAGGTGAAGTAGGTACACTTATTTGAAACAATAGGAAACTAAAGCCCAGGGAATGAGGCTGCTAGTCACCGAGACAGCTACAGTGGTACCTCACAAGACGAATGCCTCGCAAGACGGAAAACTCGCAAGACGAAAGGGTTTTTTGTTTTTTGAGCTGCTTCGCAAGACGATTTTCCCTATCGGCTTGCTTCGCAAGACGGAAACGTCTTGCAAGTTTGTTTCCTTTTTCTTAACACCGTTAATACAGTTGCGACTTGACTTCGAGGAGCAACTCATAGCACATGGTGTGGTAGCCTTTTTTGAGGTTTTTGAAGACTTTGGTGATTTTTGAAGCTTTTCCAAAACTTTTCCGACACCGTGCTTCGCAAGACGAAAAAAATCGCAAGACGACAAAACTCGCGGAATGAATTAATTTCATCTTGCGAGGCACCACTGTAATCTTACACAGTGGCATCTGGCTTTTTGCTTATAGTCTGAGGTCTGCACTTGTTCAGAGTCCACAATGGCACTGTTTTGAGCCTGGTCCTCAGCTATCCATCTCTCCACTGTAAATGGAGAAAACCACCTTTCTTTGTTTCTACAGAGGTTCCAAATAAAAGGCAAGTGTAAAAAACCAGGACGTACTTCTGTAAAAAAACACACACCCTCATTTCAGAGATAACATATTTTTCTGCCAGAAAAAGTATTAGAAAAAGTTTGTCTGTTAAAGCCTATAAAACAATTTGTTCTACCAAGACACTGCTGATTTACTACAAATTCATATTATCCCAAAGATGTATTTAAATCAGTTTGTATGTGTGTGCTGTATAATGTTGTAACTCTTTGTGACATATTTCAATTACATATTACTTTTCAAAACTGCTTTGAGGTCCCCCCCCTACAATCAAGTGGTATATAAATTTTAATAAACAAACAAACAAACAAACAAACATTTGCAGTTGCCGTCATCTTTTATAAAATCAAAATTACTTTTAAAAAGAACTAGATTAAGTCAGTAGTGCAGAGACTCTTAATCTCAGGGTTGTGGATTCGAGCCCATGTTGGGTAAAAGATTCTTGGATTGCAGGGGGCTGGAGGAGAAGACCTTCATGATCCCTTCAAACTCTACAATTCTATGATTTTATGATAAGAGAGTATTTTAATTTCTTTATAAAAATGTATTCTGCTTAATATATATTTTTAAATATATATTTATTAATATATATTTCCGCTGTTCGACAGTGGAATTTGCTGCCAAGGAGTGTGGTGGAGTCTCCTTCTTTGGAGGTCTTTAAGCAGAGGCTTGACAACCATATGTCAGGAGTGCTCTGATGGTGTTTCCTGCTTGGCAGGGGGTTGGACTCGATGGCCCTTGTGGTCTCTTCCAACTCTTATGATTCTATGATTTAGAGTGTGACCCGTAACACTCAGTAAATAAAAACAAAACTATTTGTCACAAATAAAATTGATTTAGTCATGAAAATAAAATAAAAAATATTCTGGCAATCCATTATCATGTTTTAAATGCAATGGAATTTTTAAAAGCCATGTCAGATTTCTGGTGTTGAAAGTGCCTTAAAAGCTTCAAAAATAAGTCATGCCAGACCAATCTCATTTCTTTTTTTTTTTTTTTTGATGGAATTACAAACTTGGTGAATGAGGGAAATGCTGTGGATATAGTCTATCTTGATTCAGTAAGGCGGTACCTGTTTATCTACTTGCACTGGTATGCAAACAATACTGCCAATGGTAGTTAATGAGGAAGCTCAGGCTCGATGATCTGGGTCTGCACTAAGAGACAGCCAAGATGGTCTCTGGCCTCTTCAGCAGCCTCAGCTTTTGTAGCTGGACTCATAACTACAACATAACTAAAGTAGTCATAAGCAATAAAGAAAACATAAAAAATATACAACCAAACTGAACAATTTCCACATAAATCACAAGATCTATAATAAAGATACAAAAAACCAGCAACAGCAGCAACCACCACCCCTCCCAACAAAATCCGGCAAACAACACCCCAGCTCAAGGGTGTGTTCAGCAGTCTCAGCTTTTGTAGCTGAAGTCAGTCAGGGCCCCTCCCTCCTAGGTCAGGTGGGAAAAGGCTGCAAGGCAGAGAGCAGGCCTTCCAGGACTCGCAGCCAAGAGTCACCGCCAAGATGCCCTTGGGATGAGGGGCAGCTGCCCTTTATTTTTTTTAAAAAAATGATGTTTATTAAAGTTTAACAATTACAGAAAAGAAAAGGGAAAAAAAATAAAGAAATTACAATACTTCAAAAAAGAAAAAAGAAAAAAATACAATAAAAGAACAATACAACAGATCAGTAAAAAGAGAAAAAACAAAACCATTTAAAAAGAAAAACATTTTAAAAAGAAAAAAAGAACAGATCCGATATTTTCATATCTTTATTTTTCATTTACTTTTTTCCTCGACTTCCTCACCCCTCCCTTTTTTGTATTCTAATTCAATTACCTGTTTCAGCCAATCCTTTCCCTCTTTCTTAGATTTTGTTCTATAATATATCTTAACACAGTTTACCCTTAAATTTTACACTTAAAAAACCCTAAAAACTTAGAACTTATTTAAATTTATCTCCTTATAGCATTTCTACTAAAGCCAAATAGTTTCATTCCAACATTTTCCTCAGACTCATTAACTTTACAATGTTTCTTTAAATAAATTTTTAAACTTTCTTCCAATCTTCATCCACCGTCTCTTCTTCCTGGTCTCGGGTTCTGTCAGTCCTTTCAATTCCCTCTAGTCCGTCAACCTGGTGATCTTCTGTCCGAGGCTCTTAACTCTTCTCCATGTCCCTTCTGCAGATCTTCAAATTTGTACTTGCCCTTTACTTTGTCATCTGTTGATCTTATTCTCAATTTCTTTCCTTTGGCACTGAGGAGTAGATCTCTGGGAAGCTCCAACTTAACAATATCTTTAGCCCTTCTCAGCAGGTCAGCCCATTCTCCATGGTCAGCATTAAAATCCAAAGGAAGTTTCACAGCATGCTTCAATGTCCCTCCAAAGTTAAAGGTCCCCACAGCTCCAGTCTCTCCCTGGCCCAGGACCAAATCCCATAAGTCTGGACATCCCTGCATAGGGGGGTCGAGCCCACTTCCCATCTCCAATCCAGCTGGGACTCCATCTCTCCAGATATTACTCACTCCAGGCTCGGGCTTCAGAGACAACAGCTTATAATCCTGCAAGGCCATAGCTCTAACAACATATATTGAGGTTCAACGACAACCTCCGTCTTTATCTTCTCCACAACTTGCCCTGTCAATGCAAATTCCTGGGTCAGTTCCTGAGGGGTTTCCATATAAGTATTCACTGTTTGTCCAAAGTTGTCAGTTGCAATAATCATCAAGTCCATCTTTGCATGAAACAAATCCATCTTTGCATGAAGCTGCTCCAACAAAGCACTTGTCTTGCACAAAGCAGACACTAAGGCTTCCTGTGTCGACATTCTTGTCCAAGGTCAAAAACTATTTTTTACGATCCTTAATCTCTAGAGCTGGCGAGCTTCCCAGGTTCACTCCAGCAGCAATTTCAAAAGCTCCCTCTAGGGGATTCAATTTCTAATTGTATCCGTCCTTTTAGAAGCAGATCCGGCAACAAAATTACCTTCCTTTTTCAACTATTTTGTTCCTTTTAAATGCAAAGGGAAACATTGGAGTCAATATGTTTCTCTTACTTAACTATCTGTCAGCACACATTTTATTCACGGTCGATGAACTTTCCCAAAACGTCTGTCTTTTGACAGCCCGTTCCCAGGTTCAAGACAGTAGAAATTTATCTTTCTTTACTCTCTCTCCTGCAGGCTTAAACAATTTAAAATTTCCGCCCTCTTCTCCTGCTTCCAAGGGGGGTTTAGTAGTTTGACCAATGGAAATTTAGTCCTTTACAAATAACTTTCCAGACTTTAGCTTGCGATGTCTTTGCTTCAAACTATTTACAAAAGCGGAAGGCGGACTTCCTGTTCTGTTTAAACCTTCCTGCTCCTGTGCCAAATTACGAAGTTTTATAATCCAATTTTCCGTTCTACTCACGGGTACTTGTTTAGAGTCCAATTGTCCACAGGAAAAAGTCAGCGCTCTCCGGCAACAGCAATGCGGCTTCACTCCGTAAAAAGAGCAGTCGATTCGAAGTACCACGCCGCTCACCCCACTTCGCTCTGGATCCCCGAAACCGGGTTTCCCCGCGAGTAGGGGAGGCGCGAAAGGTGCTAGCCGAAT